AGGGGGTGAAATGCCGGCCGGTGGAGGAGCCCCAGCACCGGAGCGGGCAGCCGGAGGGATCCCAGCTCAGCTGCCCATCCATGGATGCCACAGAGCTGCCCCAGCCTGGGCACTGCCCCGCGGGCACCCCCGAGCCATTCTGGCAGGGACAGTCCTGTTGGGTGCTGACAGAGGACCCGGGGGGCTCCTGGGATGACCCTGCTGCTCCTGGGGGTGTCACATCTCTGGGCTTTTGTTACCCCCAGCAGCTGATGGGGTCTGAGCCCACCCCTCGCACCACCTGGTGCTTCCTCAGCCCAGGGCAGAGCTGGGAAGGTCCAGTGAATGCATGCACTGTGTTCCCTCCTCCTCACAGAATAAAAAGGGGATTTGTGTGTCCTGAGGACCCAGGAGGTGACAGCCAGTGTCACATCAACCTGAAGATGTTTCTCGGACTCTTTGGAGCAGGATGTGCAGGCTGAGGCAGGGCAGGGGCTGGCAGAAACCTCCCAAAAGTGATGCAAGATGCCACGGTGTTGGGGGATTGGCAGTGCCCAGCTGGAGCAGGGAGCCCAGGGAACTTGAAGCCCTGCCAGGCCAGTGCTCCAACATGTCCTGTGCCCACTGCGCCGTGCTCCAAGGTCTTGACCACACGGAGCCCCTGGCCCTGGCCAAGCCAGAGGTGCCATGTAAACAGAGTCTGGGAAAAAGCACCCACCGGAGGTGATGCAACCTCGGAGCAAGGGGCAAAGGGCTCAGCTGGCTGGGCCCGCTGGCAGCTCCCAGAATAGCCCAGGAATGTCAACAGAGAGGAACAAACGGGCACAGGCTGGCCCGGGAGCACAGACCCCACAGGGCCTGGGAGCCCTGGCCGCAGGCAGGACGGGATGGAGCGGGTGGCACCTCCAGCCAGGCACAGGGCACACGTGCTCACGGGCAAAGATGCTCCCACATGGAGAGCAACTTCTTAAACCGCCTGCAGTGACAGGACCAGGGGCGATGTCTTCCCACTGGCAGAGGACAGGGTTAGGTGGGGTATGGGGAAGCAATTCCTCGCCGTGAGGTTGGTGAGGCACTGGTTGCTTGGAGAAGCCCTCCCATCCCTGAAGTGTTCAAGGCCATGTTGGACAGGGTTGGAGCAACCTGGCATGGTGGAAGGTGTCCTTGCCCGTGGTAAGGGCTGGAACTGGATGAGCTTTAAGGCCCTTTCCAACCCAAACCATCCCGGATTCTATGATGCACACTTCCACATGTTCAGGCCCCCTCTCAAATTGTCTGGATACCTGCTCCGTGTTGGAAAAGCTCCTTGTGCCCCACATGCCCGTTCCCTGCTGTGCTGTATTGCCCCATCCCTGCCAGCTCCCAGAGCCAGGGCTGGGGCTGTGGCACAGCAGGAAACAGGAGACAAAGTTTGGGAAAACGGATGAGGCGGTCTCCAGAACACCCACCCTCCATTCCAGACCGCCAGCGGGGTGTCCCCAAAGGGATTAACCCTATTGAACCTGCATGGGGCAGCACCCCATGAACCCCCACACCACCTCCAGCCCCAGCCCCTCGCACCGCGTGCCCCCCGGCACGCTCCAGCCCCCGGATCTGGGGCAGGGGTCAGTGCGGAGCCGCGGCGGCTCTTGCACCCATTGCATAATTGTGTTGTTGATTAAGCAGTTCCCAGAAAGCAAAGCCCAGGCACTGACCTGACCAAAATACCCCCCAAGGTCCCCCCTGGGCCCAGCACCAGGGGCACACATGGCTCCGGGGCCTCTGACCCCGTGGCCATCGGGGCGAACGTGGCACCTGGTGACCTGACCCGGAGATGACAATGGCTGGGCTAAGCCAGGACCCCCCAAGAGTTTGTGCAGCAGCACCTGAGCATGGCTCGTGGAATCGTGGAATCGTGGAATCATGGAATCATGGAATCATGGAATCATGGAATCATTAAAGCTGGAATAGCCTGGGTCATTGGGCCCAACCCAGCACAGCCAAGGCCACCACTAAACCACGTCCCCAGCTGCCACATCCGCATGTTTTTGAACACTTCCAGGGATGCTGGCTCCACCACTGCCCTGGGCCACCCATTCCAGGCTGGGTCACCCTTTCCATGATGAAATTTTCCTTAATCTCCAATCTAAACCTCTCCTGTCACAACTTGAGGCTGTTTCCTCTTGCCCTGCTGCTCGTTCCTCGGGGGAAAAGCACCAGTCACCAGAGCAGTGGCACCAGCTGGGAATGGGCCATGAGACTGGGAATTAAACATTAACTCTTTTCAAGGCAAGGGAAGGGACTGTTAGAAATTCCCACCCCTCCTGGGAGCTGGACCTGCCCAGGGGGCACTTGGCACAGTGTGCTTGGACCTTTGCTTCAGAGGCTGTTGATTCTGGAAAAGGCTCCTTCCAGCATATTTGTCCCCTCCTGGAGTGGAGACCAAGGGGCCATCGTATCTGTCCCCATCTGTGTCACATCTGCATCTGGATTGATTCCACGGGTGCCGTGTCCCCACGGCTTTGCTGTGCTGGGGGCTGCAGGGTGGGCTCCCCACTGGCCTTACTGGTCCCAACAGGAAAATCTCCCAGCACTGGGCCTGAGCCACTCCTTCCAAAGCCCCCTGGGAGATCAGGGGACAGCAGCAGAGCAGGGAGGAAGGATCCCTGGCTCCAGTCACCCTTCCCTGACTGCACCTTGACCACTCTGCATGGGAAGAGCCACTTTGGAATTCCTGAGCCTTGGCCACCCCGTGCTGTGGGTGAGGAAGGGGCTGTTGGCTGAATCCAGGTTCCTCTTTCCCATGGGAGCGGGACAAACCTCAGCTCAGCATCTCAGGCTTGTGCTGCTTGAGCTGTAGGGCCACCAGGACCAGCCAAGGGCTCTCTTGTCCCTTCCCTGGTCCCTGCGTGCCCACGGCTGCTGCATCCCAGGAAGCTTGGCACTGGCTCCAGGGAAGCTGTTTGTTCAATAAATATAGACAGCGAAATGAGGAGTTGGAAAAAGAAGGGATAAAACAAACACCAAACCCTCTCTGGCTTTGCGCAAGCGGCCTTGGATCCCAGACGGGATCGATCCCCGAGCCTTCCTCCCGTCCCCCGTGGCAGGAGCACCTGGATCTGGGGAGATGAGGGTTCCTGCTCCAGCAGGGCTGTGGCAGGATGTGTGCAATGCTGTCACACGCTTGTGGCCCTCCTGTCCCTTCCATCCCTTCCCACATCGCCGGTCCTCCGGGACGACGCATCCCTGCTCCAGCCGGGGCTGCTCGTGGCCTGTGAGAACCCCGGGACTGATTCAGGGCTCTCGTGTGGTGGTAAAATCTCTCCTCCAGCCTTTGCTTCCAAAGAAAGACTCTGCAGCCTCTTGTTGTTGGGTCTCAAGGCAGTTTATTGCTGGTTATCTAAAAGATTTTCTTCGTGGGCTGCGGCTGCTTTGGTCAGCGGCCCAGGCAGAGACTCACACACTCCTGACACCCTCACTGCCTGCTGTCTTCTTCTCTCCCCACCCAGGGCTGCTGCTGTCTTTTATATGATATATTACTTATTATATGTTTACAGATTTTCCCCAATACCTACTATCCATGTTACAATGTGCTTTTCTACTCTAAACCAATCTGTGAGTGCCAACATCACCAAGAATATGGAGGTAAGGAAGAAGAAGGAGGAAGAACAGGATCAGGCCCACTTTCCTCCATCTTAGAACTCCTGACCCCCATGTACAAAGTAAAACCCCCCTGTACAGGTGTTAAAACCCCCCTGTGCAATACTAAAAAATTTTACCCTCTAATTTGTGACTACTTTTACTATACCATCTAACCCTGTGTGACAGCTTGTTCCACCTTCAAAGTTGCTAACTCATTCCATGGCTCAAACCCAAAATCACAGCTGTTTCCAGCTGTTTGCCAGGGTCTAAAATGCTTCTGACCAGGGCCTGGGACCTCTGAAAATGTCTGAGGGACGTTTTGAGCTCTGACGGTGGCCTGTGGCTCACTCCTCCTGGAGCAGGCAGAGGATGTGAGGCTCAGTGGGGAGAGGGTCTGAGAGCACCTCCTCACTCTTCTGACCCTGGATCAGTTCTGTCCCAGCCTCTGGGGTTGGTTGGCAACCCCTGGAGGTGGATCTCAGGACTGAGGTCACCTGGCAGGGGACATGGGGGTCCCCATTCCACTGGGGCTTCATGGGAGCACCTGCTACAAGTGGCCAAGTCCTGTCACCCGCTCCTGGCTCCTCTTCATCGTTCTCCACATGCACAGTGTTCATCCTGCCCCGGCTCCAGGACATCTGCTCATGGCTCATCGTCCTGGAGTGGGCAGTGGATGCAAAGCTGGGTGGGGAGAGGACCTGACACCATCTCCTCCCTCTGCTGACCCTCTCCCCACCTGGCTCAGCCGTGTCCTGCCCTCTGTGGTTGGTTGTCAGCACCTGCAGGGTGAGCCCTAAAGCTGAAGTCACCCCTCGGGGATCACCCCAGGACCCCCACCCCAAATGTCCCAGCCCAGCACCATCTCCCCCCTTTTCCTGTCCTCGCACATGGGGGACACGTGGGGAGGGGTGGAGAAACCGAACCCGCGGTTACCTAACGGGGCAGAGGTGTCGGAGCCGCCCTTTGTCCCCCGCTCTCACGGCCCTGACCTGTCCCACTGCGCTGTCACCGGCTGGCGAGGGGCAGCGGGCCAGGGAGGAGCCGAGGGGATGCTCTGCAGTGGAGGAATACAGCGTTCCCGAATTCCCGAATTCCCGTAAATTTCATCAAGGGATTCAACAAACTCCAGACACTGATTTGTTCTCCCTCATCACCAAAAAAGAAAATCTTATTAACATATGGACTCTGAATAGAAGGAAAGACTGATTGCTGAAATCTTGGCCTCAGGCGGAATTTTCCCTATAAAAACCGAATTTTCCCTATAAAAACCGCTTGTGCCAGGATGGAGGTGTGTGGGCATGGAGGAAAACCTCTGCTGAGGCTGACTCCTTGTTGCACACCCAGGGCCGACCCCGGGCTCGGCTCTGTTCTTTCCTCGTGGCTGGCTAGATAGAATTTGATTGCAAAATAAATATTTTATTTCTCATATTAATTTGGCTGGACAAATTTTCATTTATAACACCCTTGATGCTTCACCCGCAGGAGGAGAAACCCCCTCGGCAGAGCTGGGAAGGGGGAGCCCCATCCCGCCGTGTCCCGTCCTCCTCCCAAGCGCTCGGCGTGGCTCAGGTGCAGCCGCAGGAGTCCACGATCATGTCGGGGATGTCGGTCTTGACGATGTTGCTGTCGCGGTCGTAGTAGAGCAGGGAGAGGGGCCGGCGCTGGGTGGGAACGCAGCAGGAATCCACGGCCGCCGCCGCGCTCGCCGCCTTGACGCGGTTGAGGACGGCGGTGTGGAAGGAGGCGGCGAGGCCGGGAATCGCGGCCATGTGCAGCGGGCACAGCCCCGCGCAGTAATTCATGTGGTACCCCTCGGGCTGGATGATCCAGTCCTCCCAACCGATCTCCTTGAAGTCCACAAAGAATTCCCGGCGGCAGCACGTCCGCGAGGCCGCGCCGCAATCCACGCCGCGCCGACGGACGCGATGCGGAGTCCTGGCCTGGGCTTGGGCCACCACGAATGGCCAGTGGGAATCGCCGTGGTGGGACGGGAGAGGGGAACCCCAGTCCTCTGGCACCTCCAGTTCCACCGTCAGCCGCGGGCTCTGCTGGCCGAAGAGGCTCCGGACGGCTGCTCCGATGTCCAGCGTGGTCCAGCCGGGTCTCCGCACCTCCAGCCGCGTCTCGCTGGCCGCCGTCGAGTTCGCCCCCGCCGGGTCCGGCCGCAGGAGCCGGACGGTGACGGGCTGTGCCCCGCGGCCAGGACTGGCCCAGAACAGGTACAGGGTGGCCTGCTGGAGCTCCGTGCTCCCGGCCACCTCCTGGGAGAAGCGGAAATGCAGGCGGACGCTGTGGGAAGTGGAGGATCCTGCACAGAGAAGCAAGAGAAGAGTCAGGAGTGACGTGAAGAGGGGACTGATCCTGTTCCACCTGACACCTTCCCCAATATTTCGAGTTGCTGCAAGCCTCGTTCAGCCTGGCCTGGGACAACTTCTCTGGGCAACCTGTGCCCACCCTTACAGGGAGGAGTTTCTTCCCAAAATCCAGTCTAAATCTCCTCTTTTCCAAGGTGAAGCCATTCCCCCTTGTCCTGGCACTCCAGGCCCTTGTCCAAAGTCCCTCTCCAGCTCTCCTGGAGCCCATGTAGGTACTAGAAGGGGCTCTGAGGTTTCCCCAGAGCCTTCCCTTCTTCCTTGGCTGCAGAGCTGCTGCTCCTCCTGGCTGGGAAAGGGCTGCTGGGGCCATGAGAGCACTCGGGGCTCCTGGCACAGCTCTGCCCATGAGGACACAACCCCCTGCCCGCTCTGGGTTCACCCCCAGGCTCCATTCCAGCCAGGAGACAGCTCCCATTGTCCCGGAGTGAGGGAACACAACGTGCCACGGAGCAGCATTGTTCCCGCAGGGCTCTGAGGACACGGGGCCTGCGAGGGGAGAGGAGCCCCCACCTCACCACGAGGAATTTGGGCTGGGAAAGTGAGGCTGCAGGATGCTCTGTGGGATCAGGTGGTGAGTCTGTGTCTCTCCAAGGAAAGCTGTCTGTGAGGAGTGGGATACTTTTTTTCCAGTGGTGATATTTTTTTTTTCAGGACTCCTGAGTGTGTTTTGGGGAGTTTTCTCTTCCCAGAAGCAGCAGATTTTGGAGTGAAATGAGGCACCCAGTGCTTTGGGTGGGATGTGGAGGCACAGTGAGCTGTGCAGCTCCATCCACACGCTACGGGCTGACAGGAAACCGAGGCTAAAAACCCCATTTTGGAAAACGTGGCCATATGACCCCTTCACCTCCAGCACAAGGGGGAGGGTTCAGCCGAAGCGGGCAGCAGGTGACACGGCAGAGCTGCACTCTGTGCCACCCTGCGTGGTCCCCTTGGCAGGTTGGGGATCCCTCCCAGCTCCCAGCACAGCGTTCCCCCATCCCGCTGCCCATCCTGCATCCCTCCCGTGCCCCCCGTGCCCCCCGTGCCCCCCAGCCGCAGGACGCGGGTTTTACTCACCGGGCTCAGCGAAGCTCAGCACCTCGTACCGGGGCCGGGCGGGGACGCGGCGGTCCCGGAGCATCCCGGGGGTGGCGGCCGCGTCCCAGCGCTGTGCCCGCATCCTGCGGAGCGCGGTCAGGAGAGATCCCCGGGCCGGCGGCTGCGGCACGCTGGGCCTGCCCGGTAAACCGAGCTTGGCCAGGATGCTCTGCTTGGCCAGAGCCAGCAGCGCGTCCCGCTGCGCCCCGGGGGCCAGCGCGGCCACCCCGCAGGCCGGACACCACCCGCCCCTGGCCGCAGCCGTGCGGAGGAGGCTCGGGAGAAGGAGAGCCACGGTGAGCAACATCTCCCGTGGCCAGAGGTGACAGCGTGGGAGTCCAGCGGTGTCCCAGAAGCAGAATGGGATGAGGCGGAGGGAGAGGGAGCGGAGCAGAGTGGCAGAACTGGACTGAGCGGGAGCGCGGGGCGAGGATGGGCTCGTTCTCCTCCTGACGTGGCCACAAATATTGGCTGATCCCGGCGGAGATAAACGCCCCTGAGCCCCGCCGGAGCCGCCCGGGCCGCTCCGGTTAAGGTGGAGCCGGGCCGACGGTGCTGCTGCTCGGGGGGCGCGGAGCGGGGACATCGAGGCCACCCCGGTGCCACCTCGGTGCCACCTCGGTGCCACCCCGGCGGGGCGCGGGCAGAGACGTGGTGGGGACAGCGGGGGGATCCGGGGTGTCCTGGAGGTCCCCGTGCGGTGTGGGGACCACAGAGGTGGGGGGGGGGGGATCTCTGGAGGTCGGGGATCCTCAGAGAAGGGGCATTTTGGGGGGTCTTGGGGTCGTTGGACATGAGAGACCCCGACCAATGGGGGATCCCGTGGGATGGGGGATACTCCGAGAAAGGGAATCCCAGGTGGGTGGGGATTCCCGGCAGGATGAGAGATCCTTGGGGATAGGAGATCCACGGGGGGGATGAGAGATCCCTGGGAATGAGGGATCTCCAGAGATGTAGGACTCCCGGGGATGGAGAATCCCTGGGGAATTTGGACCTCGGGGAGATGTGGGACCCCTGGGGAATTTGGGATGCCGGGGATGGATGATCCTGGGGGTGCGGGATAGCCGGGGAATTTGGGACCCCCAGGGAGATATGAGACCCCTGGGGAATTTGGGATCCCGGAGATGGAGGATCCCTGGTGACGTGGGACCCCCGGGGAGCTGTGAGACCCCTGGGGACTTTGGGATCCCCGGGGATGGGGGATCCCGGGGGATGTGGGATCCCTGGTGACGTGGGACCCCCGGGGAGCTGTGGGACCCCTGGGGAATTTGAGATCCCCGGGGGTGAAGGATCCTGGGGGATGTGGGATCCCCGGGGAATTTGGGACCCCCAGGGAGATATGAGACCCCTGGGGACTTTGGGATCCCGGGGGATGTGGGATCCCTGGTGATGTGGGACCCCCGGGGAGATGTGGGACCCCTGGGGAATTGGGGTCGCGGGGGACGGAGGGTCCCGGGGGATGCGGATCCCTGGTGACGTGGGACCCCCGGAGAGCTGTGGGACCCCTGGTGAATTTGGGGTGGCGGGGGACGGAGGGTCCCGGGTGATGTGGGACCCCTGGTGAATTTGGGGTCGCGGGGACGGAGGGTCCCGGGGGATGCGGGTCCCTGGTGACGTGGGACCCCCGGGGAGATGTGGGACCCCTGGTGAATTTGGGGTCGCGGGGACGGAGGGTCCCGGGGGATGCGGGTCCCTGGTGACGTGGGACCCCCGGGGAGATGTGGGACCCCTGGTGAATTTGGGGTCGCGGGGACGGAGGGTCCCGGGGGATGCGGGGGGCGTGGTCACGGCGGGTGGGCGGAGCCTGGCGATAGCCCCGCCCATCGCCCCGCCCCTTTCCCTAAACGGCGGCGCCGCTCCCTCCGCCCCGCCAGGGGGCGCCCCGCGCCCCTCCCGCCATCCCCGGCGCGTAGCGTCCCCCGGTTGCCACAGCAACGCGGGCGCGCAGGATGATGACGCAGCGCGCAGGGCGCGGTGACGCAGCGCGCACGCCGCGGGGGAGGGGCCGCCTCCTCTTTCCCTTTTTTTTTTTCCCGTTTCTTTCCCCGTTTTTCCCCGTTCCGGCCGCCCTCCCCTCCCCCCTCCCCGTCCTGCCCTCCCCGCCGCCCCGCCCGGGCGGCCCGCGCTGGCCCAGGCCCGGCCCGGCCCGGGGTGGCGGCGGCGGCGGCCCCGCGGCGCAGGGCCCGGCCCGGCGCGGCCCGGTAAGTGCGGGGGGAGCGGGGCTGGCGGGGACGGGGCGATCGCGCTGCACCGGGCACGGCGGCCACGGCCGGGACCCGCCCGCGGTGTGCCCGCTCCTTCCCCCGCGGGGGCAGCGCGACCGGGGCTGCGACCGGGGGTGCTCCCGGCCCGGGGCCGCTCCCGCCGGGGGTTCCCGGCCCGGGGCCGCTCCCGCCGGGGGTTCCCGGCCCGGGGCCGCCCCTCTCGGGGTCTCTTGCTGCGCGATCCGGTTCCTGCGCTGCCCTTCTTTGGGGTCGGTTCCTGATCTCCCTTCTCGGGGAGCGCTCGGTGCGGACTCCCGTCCTGCCCCTCTCGGTGCCCGGTGCCCGTCCTGCCCCTCTCGGGGTCCGGTTCCCGGTCTCCCCTCTCGGGGTCCGGTTCCCGGTCTCCCCCTCTCGGGGTCCGGTTCCCGGTCTCCCCCTCTCGGGGTCCGGTGCCCGGTCTCCCCCTCTCGGGGTCCGGTGTCCGCCCTGCCCCTCTCGGGGTCCGGTTCCCGGTTTCCCCTCTCGGTGCCCGGTTCCCGGTCTCCCCTCTCGGGGTCCGGTGCCCGCCCTGCCCCTCTCGGTGCCCGGTTCCCGGTCTCCCCTCTCGGTGCCCGCTCGCCGCTGCTCCCGGCGGGTCTCCGGGCTCCGTGGAGCCGCTTCCCGGGGCACGTTGGCGGAGCACGTGGAGCTGGAGCTGCCGGCACCGGGGAGAGCCACCGGGGCGATGCCACCGGCAGTGCCCGCGGAGAGCCGCAGGTGGGAGAGGAGCCCGGGGCCCCGCGATGTTCTGGTGTCCTCACGGACAAACGTGTTTTATTTGAAATGCTTTTCCTGGAAATGATTCCCAGTCCTGGGATCTCCCAGCATTTGGGAAGGTGCTGCTTTGGAGGGTCTGTGCTGATGGGATGTATGGAAAAGTGGGGGTTTTGGGGCTTTTTTTGGTGTTTCCAGCCCTGGAAATTTAAATCTTCCCAGGGATTCTGGTTTTGGTACCTGCAGGAATTTGGGCTGAGGGTCACAGTTGTTTCTGTCCCCTGGCTGGAGGTGTCATAGTTAATTAAAGTGCTAATTAAAGCGTCCTCGGGTCTGTTTGAAATGTGCTGGTAGAAGTTTGTGCTTCTGAGCTCCTGCTGGAGCTGCGGGAAGGAACATCACCAGAACCCTCGGTGCTCATTCCTGAGCACTTTGGCTCCTGGGGAATTTAAAATTCCTGGCTCCCAGTTCGGTTTCCTGGCTCAACCCTGCTGTGGGCTCCACCTCCCTCCCCTCTTCCAAGATCTCCCTGTGCTGGTTCCTAATCCTGGGAGCTGATTTTCCTCTGCCTAATCCCACTGACCTGTTGCTGTAGGGATCTTCTTAACGCCGGCGTGGATCAGCTCAGGGGCACAGGAGCTTTTCCACCAGCTCTGCTCCTGGAATACTTTGGTGATTCTGCAGTGGTGACAAAAAGGTGACAAAAAGGGAAGAACAAGGCGGATTTTTGGCCAACGTGCAGCAAACCAGGAGCAGAGTGGGGATTCCACGCTGCTGAAATCCCTGGGAAGCTGTGGGCTGAGGATTTGGGATTCTGCTGGGGCTCACAGGAATTGTTTGTTCCTGGTGCTGTCACTGGAAGAGCGGTTGGAAGGAATTGCAGATCCCTGGAAGTGTCCAGGGCTGGCTTGGATGGACCTTGGAGCTGGATGAGCTTTAAAATCCCTCCCAGCCCAAACCATTGCAGGATTCCCTGGTTAGAGGGGCTGACCTGGACGGGGAGGAAACGGCTGGTTTTCTTTTTTTGGATGAATTCCCGAGTGTGGGGAAATGAATTTGGAGAGAATTCTCCAAACCTAACAGCAAGCTCACACAGTGTGCATCTGTATACAAACCTTGAGATGAGAAATGCTGACTTAGAACTGCCATAGAATAAAACATTGTTGAAAGAGAAACAGAACTAGAAACAAGTTTCAAAAGATGGCCTTACAAATAAGACAAAAAACTTTGGAGAAATAGAACTATAAGAGATGAATTGTTATAAGACCCATGATAAGTAATTTTTGATGATTGACTTTAAGGTATTTACAACAGTGTAGCTAAAACTGATAGACCAAAAACCACTTATAATATATTGTAATTAAAAAAGAGTTGACTTCTAATTAAAATAGTGTCAATTTAAACATCTGTATTGTCTCAGCCTTCACATGAGACTGAAAACAGAATGAAAGTTTTTAAAGCACCTCTCAATTACCCCATCTCTGAATCAAAAAGAGCCATAAAACCACACCCGGGGGAGGAGCAGCCCTCGGGCTCTCTGCTCCTGGAATCCTTTGGTGATTCTGCAGTGGTGACAAAAAGGTGACAAAAAGGTGACAAAAAGGGAAGAACAAGGCGGATTTTTGGCCAACGTGCAGCAAACCAGGTGCAGAGTGGGGATTCCACGCTGCTGAAATCCCTGGGAAGCTGTGGGCTGAGGATTTGGGATTCTGCTGAGGCTCACAGGAATTGTTTGTTCCTGGTGCTGTCACTGGAAGAGGGGTTGGAAGGAATTGCAGATCCCTGGAAGTGTCCAGGGCTGGGTTGGATGGACCTTGGAGCTGGGCTGGTGGAACTGGATGAGCTTTAAAACCCCTCCCAGCCCAAACCATTGCAGGATTCCCTGGTTAGAGGGAGGAAAGTGCTGTGCTGATGGATGAATTCCCCAGGGAGGAGCAGCTCCTGGGGCTCGCTGCTGCTGCCTGGGAGCAGTGGAGAATATCCAGGGCCAGCCCCTCCTTCCAGCTGCGACACCGGATCCCCCCTTGGAATCGAGTTCCCCTTTTAGCACTGCTGCCATTTGTGTTGCTAAATTTAAGGTGGTGGCAGTGCTGCTATTCCAAAGCCCCGGTTTGGAGGGGGAAGGTGCCTAAATCACCCCTTGGTGGTGCCTAAACCACTGCTCCCAGCGCCAGTGCAGTTCACTGCACCTCATTATCTCGTTTAATATTAATTAAAGCCAGATCAGCGCTCATTTGAATAAATTGATTGGGTTTTAATTGTTTTCAAGGAGGAGGTGGCTGTCCCGGGGGCACCACAGAGGGATCAATGTCCAAACTTTCAGAGCAGCTTTGGGAGCTCTTCTCCCACCTCAGGCACTCCAGTGCAGCACGTTTGGGTCCCTCAGTGAGTTGTTCCCAAGTAATTTGGAGCAGGAGGTGCAGCCAGAGGCAGGGAACACAGCTTGGCACCTTGAAGACTTCTCAAAATGTTGGGTTTTTTTTTTTGGCTAAAGAGAAACTGAATAAATTGATCTTGCCAATATTCAGGGCTGCTGGTACTTCCCCTGCGTTCCTGTGCCAAGGTGCTTTTCTTGCCTTAAATTCTTCCCCAAGATCCATTTCTGGCTGGATCCAAAGGCTCCAGCAGAGGTTGAAACCCATGTTTAAATGCTTTAATGCCTGTTGAGATGATCCTGAGCCTCTCCCCATAGCTGCAGGGGCAGAACTCTCAGTGCATTCATTGCCCAAGGGAATTAACAGTGGGAAGTGTTGGTGTTCTCCGTGTTTGTGGCAGCCCTGGCAGGGAGGGGG